GAATTCATAATCCCACCCCACCCTGGCCTTGTGTGTTCCTCCTTCGGCGACCTAACATCCTGCTGATGGCGGGAAAGCTTGCATTCAGCGGAGTTTTTGGTCGGTCTGCTCAAACCCCCGCCCCCCCTTGCACCATAAAGCGTATGCACACCTCTAAGTCTGTTCAGGCGTCTTCCCTGGGTGTAATAATTGTCTGCCTCCAACTTGGGCGTCTGTGTGGGAGCAGATTTAAAGTCCGGCTGAGTTGCCTGGCTGTGGGTGCACACAGCCCGGTCCCAGCTCCTGCAACATGACACCTGGGAAGGAAGCAGCAGCCATGGTTGGGTTTTGGGACAAACAGAACTTTCTATGTGGAAAGGCACAGGGCGGAAGCTGGTCGCCATGGCGCGGCCGGGCACAAGGGTCTTACCAAGTGAGGCCATGAGCTTGAAGATCTCCAGCATCACATCGCGGCACAGGCACCTCCGAGCCTCGTCGAGGAGCCCCCACTCCTCCTTGGAGAAGTACACGGCCACGTCCTCAAAGGTCACTGGGCTCTGCAACGAGGAGACGGCTGAGCCAGGGGCCAAAGGGCCGGCTGGGAAACAGACACACAAACGCTCCAGTGGACACAGCCAGGCCCTTGACCCGGGACTCAGATGACCTGTTCCACTGTCCTCTCCTCCTGAGACCCCCTCAGTCCATCCTCCCCTCACCCACATGCAGCCTCTCCTCCTCCTCAGGCCCCCCACTTCAGAGGAGGAACCAGCCCGGCACCACTGGTGTTCTCCTGCTCCTCGCAGTCACCGTATTCAGGCCAATCCCACCGAGAACAACAAAAGGGCACGCTGCTCCTCCCCCCCACGGGCCAAAGTTCCTTTTTGTCCCCCAGATACGAGAAAATTGGGGGCTCTTCCTTTCTTCCTCAAGCCTCGAGCACCAGGGCCCCTTGGCTCACACCCCCTTACCGTGTACAGGGACCATACATTCCACATCTCTCCTCCCCGCCACCCCTTGTCCACACCTCAGGCGTCTCCCTGGAGTCCCCATATTCCGTCATGCACGTAGCTGACCTGAGAAAGACTACCAGGACCCAGGACTGACCTGCCCCAGATCTCCAAAACCCCCGAGGCCAGAGACGGCCATCACCCCCTAGTGCAGCGGTTCTCAACCTGTGGGCCGCGACCCCTTTGGCGGTCGAACGACCCTTTCACAGGGGTCGCCTAAGACCATCCTGAATATCAGATATTTACATGACGATTCATCACAGTAGCAACATGACAGTGATGAGGTAGCAACGAAAATAATTTTATGGTTGGGTCACAACATGAGGAACTGTATCTAAAGGGCCAGAAGGTGGAGAACCACTGCGCCTAGTGAATGCTTGGAACCTTGAGTAGATCTCAAACACTCCTCCTTCCCACCTCTGCCCTTGCACATGCCCTCACCAGTCATACCTGTCCTCACACACTCTCTCTCTTTTTACTAAAAAAATATTGGGCCCGAGCTAGTTTAGCTCAGTGGATAGAGCGTCGGCCTGCGGACTGAAGGGTCCCGGGTTCGATTCCGGTCAAGGGCACGTGCCCGGGTTGCGGGCTCCATCCCCAATAGGGGGCGTGCAGGAGGCAGCTGATCGATGATTCTCTCTCATCATTGATGTTTCTATCTCTCTCCCCCTCTCTTCCTCTCTGAAATCAATAAAAATATTTTTTAAAAAATTGTTAATCTTCACCTGAGGATATTTTTCCCACTGGTTTTTAGAGATTGGGAGGGAGAGGAGGACGGGGAGGGGGAGAGAGAAACATGAGAGAGACACACACCGATTGGCCGCCTTCTGCACACCCCCCCACCCAACCAGGGCCAGGTTTAGAACCTGCAACCCCAGGTGCGTATTCTTAGTACGTGCCCTTGTACTCGAACCCTGGACCTTTCGTTGTGCAGGCTGACACTAACCACTGAGCTCGATCCCCAGTGGACGGTGTGCAGGAGGCAGTTGATCAATCCTGGCCAGGTTGGGCAGGTGAGGATTTTTTTTGGTGGGGGGGCATTTTATTTTATTTTTTACATATATTTTTTTTGATTTCAGAGAGGAAGGGAGCAGGAGAGAGAGAGAAACATCAATGAGGAGAATCATTGATTGGCTGCCTCCTGTACGCCCCCTGCTGGGGGATTGAGTCCACAACCCGGGCATGTGCTCTGACCCGGGAATCTGGAACAAAACCTTGATCTCCTGGTTCATAGGTGGACGCTCAACCACGGACCCACACCAACCCGGTAGACCTTAGGGTCTGTTCTCTGGCTGTAAATTGCTCGCCTTGGTTAACTTTCCCAGTTTCCCCACTTTCCAAGAAATTTCCCAAATTTCTTACTAATCCACCTCATTCAGAGCCTCGCAGCCCGGAGCCTGCCCAGGAGTGAGCCAGGGGAAGCAGCCCCCCGCCCCGCTCCGCTTCTTAGCAAGTGCCCACGCGGTGACGCTTGGCCGTTGCCATGGATACCTTGACCTGTAAGCACTCGGAACTACCTTCCCAGAAGGCTCTGCGC